TAAGCAGGCCGGGTGGGAATTTAGGGAAGGGCTTCTATAAGGCTTCCAAAGGGTCTACAGCGTGCTAGATTTTACCAAAAGACTACGGCAGAAGGAGCCTTAAGGAATAGCGTCCGGCTTCCGGCATCGGGTCTTGGGCTTCGGATGTAGGTTCTGGTTCTCTACGTCTTACGCAAACACCCGCCATAGTGTAGGAGCCTTAATGATAAGAATAAGGGTTTTGGGGTGTGTGATACTTTAATTAAAAATTAAGGAACCCCCAAAATGATATGGGTAGCTATTTAGGCTTCTATACTACTCCCGATGAGACTTGTGTGGTGCCTTGGGACGCCAAACATGGCAAAGAGCAAGTTCAAATCTTAAATTTCAAAGAAGAGTGTGCGCAGTAGGTTGGATGCTTATAGGGCCTAGTAGCCGAACGCAAGACCACCTCACGGCCTACAGGCCCTATCCGAGACTTAATAAGTACAGTTATAAGTACCCTAATTGGGGTCAGAGGTACTTTTAGGTATAGTTACCTTATTTGTAACCCTAGTTACTAAGTACCATGAGCCTTCAAGTATGTCAACCGCTAAGACCTCTTAGACTTGACATCATGAGGCCGACCCCTCAACGCCATGCCCGACACATGAAACCCCAAACCCGGAAACCGCGTGTGGTGAAGGTCGCACGGTAAATTCGGCCGATTGACGCAGAGCAAGGGACGGCAACCGACAACCAGGGCGTGCCCCATGGGAACCACGTGGTTCTCCCGTGAGCGAGGCGACGGCGGTGCATGTCGGTCAGCCTCTGCGCTTCCTTGTTGGTTGGAAATCCTCTGGCAAGACCCTGAAAATGCGGCGCTCGGGACACGGCAGGTCGCCTTCCACACCAACTCCCGGATCGAGGCATCCAAGGTGCAGCAAGGCGACACAGCTGTCGTGTTGATCCTGCAGGAAACCCAGCATGGCGTCGCTGCACGCTGCGCTATTTCGACGGACCGCAACCCCTGTTACTCCATTAGGGTTTAGGGTTTAGGGTTCAGGATGAAAAGTCGTGAAGCAACCCTGGACACGACTCGCTCTCGTGAGCCCAAGCCGCGCGTGCTCGCGCACGCCGAAGTGGATGTAGCGCCCAGCATAGCTGGCACCCGGCCGCAGGGAAGGCGGCAGGAAGTTGCCTCTGGCAGCCGAGAAGCTACGAGCTTACCTTTAAAATGCACTTCTGGGCTTTACTGTTAGAGTCTAAACTCAAGACTCTTTCCGTGAAACACGACAAAAATCGTTCCGTTCGAGCTTGGGTTCTAATACCTGTGGACCTCAAAGACCGAGCAACTTTGAACACCTGCAAAAGCCCTTCAGGCACGAGCCTCAACACGAAGAGAACCCTCCGCTTTCGGCCTCACGGGTTCGGGTCTGGGAAGTGGCAGCTCCTCTTCTGAGATGGGTTGAAGCCATCTGTAACCATTGCAGGCTCAACTGCTTCTCAAGGATGTAGCGTCTGCCCCAAACCATACCCGATCAACCCCGAAGGGCCTAAGCCCTGATAGGCCCGTTATAGGGAGCCCTTGCCATTTTGGGGTTTAGGGTTTAGGGTTTAGGGTTTAGGGTTTATGGTTTAGGAGCCCTTGTAATTTATTATAGCCCCCTAAACCCTCAACCCTAAACCCTAAACCCTGCTATAGCGAACCTTTTTTTAATAAAAGACCGGACAACCCTAAAACCCTCTACCCCTCAGTTCTTTTCCCAAAAAAGGTTTTTATAAAAACCTTTTTTTAAAAAAGGCCGGACAACCCTAAAACCCTCTACCCCTCAATTCTTTTCCCACTTCCCCTGCCGAGCCTTGGATGCTTGGAAAGTGGGCCCCGACGCTGCTGGCGACATCTGGGGATCCTTGTGAGCTGCTAGGGCTCAGATAAGAGGCTTAGGGTTTAGGGGTTTAGGGTTCAGGGTTCAGGGCTTAGGGTTTAGGGTTTAGGGTTCAGGGTTCAGGGTTTAGGGTTTAGGGGGGCTTTGGAGGGAGTTAGGCTCCAGGGTTTGGGATTTATAGGGTATAGGGTTTGGGGTTTAGGCTGCAGGGTTTGGGGTCTAGAGGGTTTCTTTTTGGGTCCCAGAGCTACGAAGTCTCAGCTTAGAGGTTGAAAGTCCAGGATCTAAGATGACGGGCTTGAACCCTAAACCCTAAAACCCCTAAAGCCCCTAAAACCCCTAAAACCCCTAAAATTCCGAAAACCCCTGAAACCGCTGAAACCCCTGAAACCCGAAGCCCTAAACCCTAAAAGTCTAGGGTGACCTTTTTTTGAAGTTGTAAGAATTAGGGTCCCGAGGTTCGCCTTTGAGGGTCCAGGTGTGGAGTTTGCGGTTTGGCGTCCGCGTCCTGTTGGGACCTTAACTTTTTCGGGCTCGGGGGTTTTGGGTTTTGGGTTTTGGGTTCAGGGTTTCGGGGTTGAGGGTTTCAGGGTTCAGGGTTTCAGGGTTCAGGGTTTCAGGGTTTAGGGTTTTAGGCTTTAGGGTTTTAGGGTTTAGGGCTTTAGGGATTAGGGTTTTAGGGTTTACGGTTCTAGGGTTTAGAGTTTAGGGTTTAGGGTTTAGGATCAAGAAAAGTGATTTAAAGAAATCTACGGAACCCGAACCAAACAGAAATAAATCATATCAGTGCATCTACTCTTTTGAACCGACGCTGTCTTACAAATGGCCCCCGAACCCCAACACTTCATGTCACATGCTCTGATATATTCATGCACCTACCACCACATCTTTAGAGCCTGACGTTCAGTTCAGCCGCGCCCGTGCAATCGAAACTTTCCAGGAAGGGCTTCGGGATTCTGCGCTCTTTCGGCCTGGTATGCACTGTCGGATTTCTACCGTGTGGGCTCAACGAGATGCCAAGCCTCGGCATCCAAGAACCCTCACAACAAAAAAGCAAATCCTAAAACCTTAACCTTCTAGAACCCCTTACCGGGAACCCGTGTAGTACAATTCTTACTTGAACAAACCCTAATGAACCCTACAGCTGATCCCTGAAACCTAGCCCAAGGCGCGATCGGTGAACCCAAGTTCCAGAATCAGAAACCCCAAAACCTAAACCCTACACCACATTTTGGCTGCAAAGACCGTTCCCTAAACACTCTGCCATTTATAACAGAGTCCTCAACCTTAAACCATACATCCTAAACCCCTAAACCCGAATACTCCTCCAGTAAACGGGTTGGGCCTAAAGCCTACACCGCTCCTCCGATCAACGCCGGCGTCTGCTCGGCAAAGTTCTTCAGCACCTCGGAGACGTAGACCTCCGCCGTTGTGCTGTGTTCTGAGTTTCAGGAAAGTTTAGGGGTTTGGAAAATAGGGCTTCGGGTTACGGTTTTTGGACTTACGGGTTTAGCTCTTTCGGGTCTTGGGTTTGGGTCGGCTCCGCTGCAACATTGCTATATCTGAGGGTGCTTGTTTATTGCTTCATCCATCTGCAAGAACCTAAGTCTCCGTTAGGAGCAAAGGCCCTAAACCCTAATCTGCAAACCCTAAAC